AAGATAATGACATTACTGAATGAAGAACACATTGTCCTCAGTTTCTGAATCCTGAACTTTTGCCCTGCTGTCCCAAGATTTCACTTCCCCCTCCAACCGTCAGTCGACAAATTTTTCTGAAAAGAGATCTGGCCTATATTTCAGGATGCTACACAGAGCTGATTGCTGTGAGGATTAGGAAGCTTGGCATATTAACACATCTAATTCTTCTCAGAGACAAGAGTGCCAGTCACTGTGATTGACAAGAGATGCTGTTCATTGTTAATTAATTATTAGTCGTCAATTCAGAAACTTTATGGCACTAAGAAGACTCAAACAGGTTGTTGATTTTCTCCTTTAAAACTTGACCACAGCAAAAATTTTTGGAGGAAACTGAATACCTTTAATTATCAAATTGTATTCAAACTTTTCCATGCATACTTCTGCTAGTGGCAATGTGTTTCATAAGGTTTTTACAGTTTTGTGCTCTTATCTACAACATGGCACTTATACAATGAGATAGGCAAGAAATGAGAAACCTTAATTTCTGGAATATTTCAAAGGTTTTCTTATGTTTTCTAAAGAAAAATATACAAAGAGATGAATGAGTCCTAGTGTTAAATTTCTAGTTTGCAAAGGTAATCACTAGAAGTCAGAGGTATACATTATAAAGAATGGTTTACGGGACCTGGAGAGATGGCTCAGTGGTTAAGGTTGCTTGTTTCTCTTCCAGGGCAAGTAAATTTAGTTCCTGTAACCCACGTTGGACCACTCATGACCTTTAGGTCCAGCTTGAAGGGATCCAATGTCCTCCTCTGGTCTCTGCAGGCACCTGGGAACAGGTGGAATTCACACATATTCACATATATTCACACACACACACACACACAAATGTTTTATAAAAAGAAAGATTTTATGCTTACCTTTATTTAGGATAAGGAAACTTTGAAGTTCATGGTCTGTTTTTGTAGTACTGAACACTTACTTGACATATTTTTTAATTCTAGAAACAATCTTATTTACATATCCATCCCCTAATTCCCTTTCGCTCCCATCTTCCCATGCTTCACACCTAGCCCCAACCCACCCCCACCCACTCCCCAAGGATAGTGAGACCCTCTATGGCGGATCATCAAAGTCCATCACATCATTTGGCAGAGGACGCACACCCTCCTTCCCGTATCTGGGCTGTAATATTATCCCTTCATCGGGAGTAGGTTCCCAAAGTCCATTTGTGATCTAAGGATAAAACACTGGCTCCACTGTTTGAGGTCCCATAGACTGTCTTGGCCTCCTAGCTGGAACACTCATTCTGAGGGCTTGGTTTGGTCCAATGCTGTTTCCCCAGCTTTACAACTCTCAGTACTCTCATTGGGTCAGGTCAACTGTTTCTGCGAATATCTCCAGCAGAATCTTGGTTTCTTTGCTCATCTCTCCTCCCTCTCCACAGCTGGATTCCGGAAGTATGGCTCAGTGTTTAGCTGTAGGTACCTGTTTCTGCTTTGATCAGCTACTTGGTGAAGGTTCTAGGAATGCTAACCAGAGTAGTCATCAATTTCATTATAGGGGAAGGGCATCAAAAACAGCCTCTCCACAACTGCCTAGATTCTTATTTGGGGTCTTCCCCGTGGATCTGCTAACATTTCCCCTGTGCCAGACCTCTCTCCAAACCTGTAATGGCTCCCTCTGTCAAAACATCTCCTTTCTTGCTCTCCTGGATTCTGCCCCTGTCTCAGACCTTCTGTTCTCCTCTCCCCTCTCCCTTTCCTACCTCCCTCCTCTCCCACCCTACCTGCTCCCAATTTGCTCAGGGGTTCTTGTCCCCCTCAACTTCTTTGGTGGACCATGCATTCCTCTCTTCAGATCCTCCTTGTTTCCTAGCTCCTCGGGTGGTGTGGATTGTAGGCTGGTAATCCTTTGCTCTATGTCTAAGATCCATGTATGAGTGAGTACATACCATGTTTGTCTTTTTGTGACTGGGTTACCTTACTCAGGATGGTTTCTTGTCGCGCCATCCATTTGCCTGCAAATTTACTGGACATACTTTTACAATTAATGTACTTGCTTGCTTCTTCTGACTTTTCTAATTTTACATTAAAAGTCACTTTTATAACTATTATCTGCTTAGTTACTAATTTAAAAACCTGTGTAAATGTGTTTGTGTATCAAATTTCTTTGAATTGGAACATTCACTCTAGGAAGGAGGGAGGAAGCTTGTAAGAGTATGTAAAAAGTAAAAAACTCACAAGTCTCTGGAAATGTCTGAAACCAACAATATTCACAAGGCCCATTCCCAAGGTTATGGAAGCAGTTTGTGACTTCTGGGAGAGGAGTCTCTGCAGAGACTCTAGCCCATTAATCAGCCTACACATAAATTAGAGAACTCCAGATTTACAGTGTATGTGAGTCATCACCTATGGTGTGGTGGAATTCTGTGTGATGCAGCTACTTTTGAGTCATTCATGATCCTGTAAGTAATCTCTCACCCATACTCCTGTAAGTAATATCAATAAACTCACTGGTTTGTCAAGTTGGAATTTGATAGAATCATAATTCTGGTCTGTTATTACTTCCCTATAGAGAGAGAGTAGGCATCTCCCTAGGAAATGCTTGTACAACAGGTGGTAAGATATACATCTCAGTGGAAATGAGTACTAGGTCAACTTCTTCATAGATTCTCAGATTCCTCTGGTTTATTATCTGGGGGTAAAGGATTAAGACCAACAACTGTTAGTTTTTCTCTGTTATTTACTTAAAAGCTTGGGAAAATCATGCTCAGTTATTGGCAAATATGGGCTTTTATAAATGATGTCCCAAATAGTAGATCAGAGGATATATACATATCAAAACTCTTCATATTTATAAAATGTTAAAATCTGCCATCTTGGATGTTTCCTTTAGGAAATAGAAAAACTCTAACATGTTGCCATTCAAAGTGTAATCTGAATAGAGCCTTGTCATTGAAGGTGTTGTCTTACTTTTTATAAAAGCCAGTATATCAGAATATATATATCAGAAATGTATACACTCAGGCTTACCCTAAACCCTTTCAATCAGAAAAAAAATTTTAAACAAGATTCATGAATTAAAACTGCTCTTAGAGATTTTTGGTATTGTCTGGGTTTCAATTGTGGATCTATAAATCATTCAATGTTGTAACTTTGAACATGCTCGTTAACTGCTCTAAGCCTGTGAAATTCAAATGGGGGTAATGATAATCTCTGTTTCATGTAGTTTGGATGTTGACTGCATGGTTAATTTCACACAAAGCACTGAGATGAAGCCTGTTGTGTAATAGGTCTCTAAATCTATTTATAGAATGGCATGTCCATAAGGTGTGGTTTAGGAGCATGGACTGAAGTGAGGCAGGAGTTTGGTCCTTTTCCTCAAGGATGATTAGTCTTTAGGAATGGTTCCTTCCATGAAGATATCATGTTTTCTCCAGTGATGGAGAAGGTTGCAGAATGCCTATTAGCTCAAGGAAGTTAAGAGATGTTTAATGTTATAGACTATATATGTGAAGGAATGTACTCCTTGACTTTACAGACAAAGGGTAAAGGGAAAAGGTAGACAATAGGCTACACCATATGTGCATCAGCTTCTGCTTCAGCACTGGAAAAGGGATTTAAAAATATTTATTTTATTACTTTAATTATGTGTGTGTATTTGCACGTGAGTGCTGGTATCTTGGGAGGTCAGAAATGGATGTCAGATCCCCTGGAACTGGAGTCCCAAGTGTTTGTGGGCTGCTTTATGTAAGTTCTGGAAACCAAACTTGTGTCTTCTACAGGAGCATTATACATTCTCAACTGCTGAGCCATCTTTCTAGGTTTCAGAAGAGAAGTTTTATAAAGAGCAAACTACAGATCCAATTAATTCTCTAGGACTATACACTATGAGATCTAGACCTTCTAGTACAGCTGGAAGAAGGGCCTCTAGCTTTACACAGATATCTTCTGTTCTTTAAGTAGAAAATATCATCATGAGTCTCCTAGCTCCTCCTATGTCCTGGCAGTGCTGCAGAAAGTTTAAGGTACTATTAACTCATGCCTTCTGCTGTGAACAATGAGTCTATGTGTGTGATTTCATGAGCCAGTGCTCTGGATTAAGCAAAGCTGACTACTTTGTGTTGAACTCTGTATATCTTCCTCTTGTTTTATTTGCTCTCTTCCTTATCTTGGCAGAGCCATTAAGTCTATTTTGAGGTGTTACCACCACACAACGGGCTTGTGTGCAGCCCTAAAATCAGTTTCTTTGGCCCATCTTCCTTGCACTTCTTATCCTTATCTCTCTTTTCCTACCAAATATTTGCTTATATTGCAGCTGATAAATTATCATTTTGTTAAATAATTCTTTCATTTAAGCGAGATTACTATGAATCCAAAGTTATTTTGTTGTGTTTTGAGTCTGAAAACATTAAGAAATATCCATTTTGACACAAGAACAAAACAAATTTTAGTTCAGTTTTTCTTTTCTTTAAATAGGATTATAGACCTCTGAGTCTAATAATTGATTCTGACAAGTAAAAAAACAATTGCTTCTGTGGGGTTCTATGAACCCTTCTGCCCATGAGATGGTATTAGCTCATGTAAGATATGCCTTTGGACTTGGTGATTTTACTATGTCCTGCCTATTCCACATGGCTGCTGGTGTTCACAATCCACTAGTTGGCAAGCCGAATCTGTGTCATTATGGATTGAATTACATGTGTCATGAGAATGCTGGAATCATCAAAATGTGCCTCCTGCCTTCTGAGAACTCATGGTCTGTCTGTAGGGATGGCTGTATATTATGCTAAGGTGTTTCTTATTCTATGGTAAAAATATAGAGACCAATAAGTTATATAGTACTCTAGTGAGAACTTTTCAAATGTTCTGTTTATTTTAGCTATATTTGTTCCTCATTGACAACAGAAATGTTCTAATGAATATGTTCATTTTAAAGTTCAAATTCTAGACAATTTCCTTGTAGATTTGTCATTTTGTGCAGTATATGTTCTAAATAGCTATACATAACTGACATGTTCTGCTGTTACTAGGGCAGTTATCAAATTTTCTTTCTCACCACAATAATTGTACAGTATTTATGTCTGTAAAATTAATTTTTCTATCTTATACATAAATTGGTTCTAGGAAGAATAGCTTAACATAGAAAATAAAGATATCAGCCTCATTATAAATAATTAAGAGCCAAAGACCATTGGAGGCAGGGGTTTGAAAGTCAAAAGCCCACAGTGAGCACAGAGGTAGTGAGTAAAGATAGTAAGTGAGATGACTTAGTGAATCTGCATTTGAGTTTGCAGAATCCACATAAAAAGTTGGATGCAATTGTTATTTCCTGTATCTGGAAACAACACTGGGAAAGTAGAAACAGGAGGTTCCCTGGAGATTGCTAGCCAGTTAGTCTAGCAAATATTAAGTGCCAGGTTCAAAGGAGAATGATTGAGGAAGATACCAAACACCTCTCCATTTAAACACATATATGTACGTGTGTACTCAGACACACTCCTGTACATATACAGACACACAGAGAAACAGACTCTGTCTCTCTGTCTCTATGTCTCTGTCTCTGTCTCTGTCTCTCTCTCTCTCTCTCTCTCTCTCTCTCTCTCTCACACACACACACACATACACACACACCAAAGTTGATTTAAGGGAACAGAAGATAAGGACCTAAATAATGTATGTCACATAGAAAGTATCAACCATATTGAGCTCTAGCTCTGGCTGATCATTCCCAGGAGGCGCTCTATAATAAGTGTGGCCAAATTGCTTATGCTTTCACGATGGACATACTTATTTAAGTATGAATCTTAAGAGTTCTAAATTTTGGTAAGTAACTCAGAGTAGAAATATGTTGTACATAACATGCAGTACAGGTCTGTAGGCTAGAATCAGCCAGTGGGTTACCCATTCATAATCTCTTATTAAAAAGGGATAGAGTAAAAATTAAATTTAGGAAGCCGAGACAAGATGGCAATGGATATGAAATCAGTCTCTGAGCTTCATTGTGGGTAAAATAAATATGGACGTTGATTATTTTCCTGTTAGTCAGACATTTCCTGCTGTGACAAATGTAAGAGAAACAGTTCATGGGAGTTAAGATCTAATTGAGCTCACAGTTTCAGAGGTTTCAGTCCATTATTGGCTTGCTCTGTTGTTTCTAGGCTGATGATGATGCCATGATGATGCCAAACATCGTGGCAGAAGGGAATAGAGAACAAAAATTGCTTATCTCGTGGCAACCAGGAAAAAGAAAAAGAGACAGGAAAGGGCCATGTACAAGATATATCTTCCTAGTGCATATTCTTAGTCACCTACATCCATCTAACCTACTAACTTATATCCAGAACTTCCCCAAAACCGTAAGTAACTGAAATTTTGGTTTCTCTAGCTTATAATTAAAGTCATAAATAGGCTGATAAATAGTCATCTTTGTTTGTACCTTCTGAAAATTATCTAAAGAATGTATTGTGAAAGTATCTTAAAGAGATGCAATGCCAAGGACACATACAAAGAATAGTAACTGATACCTCTGGGCATCATTTTATTCCTACTTAAGTGAAGGCATTGTGCGTATTAACAATGTGTGCTGAAAAGCCTCTAGTTTCTTATGAGTATAGTTACTGAGTTACATTTCTTTTGGCAACTTTCTACAATTTCCTCAGAAAAATGTAGCCTCATTATGTCTCAATCTCAATTATGCTATTTCCACATCATGTAACACCAGGTAAAATATCATATTGATTCTTGGTTTCCTTCTCTGTCTAGTTGCTGGGAGCAGCAACAGCATTCCAGGAACACTGGACATCTTAAATGAAGTAGTGTACATGAAAGCACCTAGAATCACACCCTTGCTCTGTAGAAACAATGAGAATTGATCGTCTTCTATATGATTTTTCTGTTCTTAAGCATTGTGAAGGGCTCCATACTGATGCTTCCTAAAGAAAACTTGGAGCTATTTATTTATAGAGGTTTATTTCAAAATTGAATAAACTATTAGTTATCTTTTCTCAGCTGTCCTGTTTATAATCATTTCTCCCTTACCTTGTATGGTTTACTTGCCCTTTATCATGATGAACTTCTGCTTGTGTTTGATTTCATTTCAGACAGGTAGAAAAGCATGTCACAAGAGTCATTCTTTATAGTGTAGGTTTACCTCTCCTCACCAGAATGATCTTCGAAAAGTGATCTAAGCATTGAAGATATGGATTAGAACCACAGATGAGAATGGTAGGGGCAAGTTTCAAGCTTTAGAGTGGTATCTCATCTGCTCTTGAGGAAGGCTACCTTGCAAAAGTAGTTCTGCATGATATTTATATTAGTCGCTGATGAAGGATAACACAAGAATATAAAAACTGGATACTTTTGTTTAGTTACATCATTTTATAGTTTTATTACCTGTGTGTATTTAGAAATGAGAATTGTGAGAAAGCTTGGAAATACACACCAAAGCTTCAGGGTAGAGGAGTACTCTGAGTTGGTTAGCTAGAGTGACTCTCAGGAGAATTGTCTTACAAGCTGTAGATTCTGACAGAATGCACTCTACCTTTAATACCCTGTTAACTGAAAGGGAAGAAGGAGGAGAAGTTAGACTCTGAAGAATGTCTTACAGAGGACTCATATAGCCCTATATTGCTTTCAACAAGGTGGTCCCATCTTATTTTCTTATTATGCAACCTCTGTGAGCCAAGTCAACCACAGAAAATGAAGGAAAAGGAAATGAAACCTTTTAATCTCCAAGACAGAGATTTATTCTATGCAAACTGAGTGGCAGTTCCAAACCATGGCTCAGACATCAGAAACTATTTGAGTTTTGGATTCACTTTCTGAAAAGGGAGTTGTCACGGCTTCCTGGAAAGAGGTTGACCAGAACCAAATGGCACCTTCACAAATGGAGGCCCACAGATTCAGTTGAGGATGTATTTCTTGATTAAAGAATCAAGATTAGTTCCTTTGTTGAGTTTCTGTCTTGTATTCCTGTCTAGTGGTGAGAGTGGGTAGTGAAGCCTTATATTTGGCAACATAGCAAACCTCAACAGGTACAAAAAATGGAATAAATCCATGTATCTTATCAGACCATCATGCACTAAAGTTAGAATTAAACAACAACACTAACTGCTGAAACCCTACAAACTCATGGAAATTGAATAATGTGCAATTGCACCATTCCTGGGTCAAAGAAAAAAATAATAAAAGAAATTAAAGACTTCCTAGAATTCAGTGACAATGAAGACACAACATACCCAAACTTATGGGACACTTTGAAAGCAGTGCCAAGAGAAAAGTTCACAGCACTAAGTGCCCACATGAAGAAACTGGACAATAGTCACACTAGAGAATTAACAGCACACCTGAAAGCTCTAGAACATAAAGAAGCATACTCACCCCAGAGGAGTAGACACCAGGAAATAATCAAAATGAGGGCTGAAATCAATAAAGTAGAAACTAGGAAAACAATACAAACAATCAATGTAATGAAGAGTTGGTTCTTTAAGAAAATCAACAAGATAGATAAACCACTATCCAAACTTACCAAATGGCAGAGTGTTAACATGCAAATTAACAAAAATCAGAAATGAAAAGGGGGACATACCAACTGACACTGAAGAAATCCAGAGAATCATCAGGTCATACTTTGAAAATCTGTACTCCACAAAATTTGAAAATTTAAAGGAAATGGACAATTTCCTGGATAGATATCACTTACCGAAATTAAATCAAGAACAGATAAGCAATTTAAATAGACCTATAACCCCTAATGAAATAGAAGCAGTCATCAAAAGTCTCCCAACCAAAAAGAAAAAAAAAGCTCAGAGCCAGATGGCCTCAGTGCAGAATTCTACCAGAAATGCAAAAAACAGCTAATACCAATTCTCCTCAAAGTATTCTAACCAATAGAAGCAGAAGAGTCATTGTCAAATTCTTTTTACAAGGCTTCAATAACCTTGATCCCCAAGCCACACAAAGACATAACTAAGAAAGAGAACTACAGACAAATCTCCCTCATAAACATTGATGCAAAAAATACTCAATAAAATACAGGCAAATCGAATCCAAGAACACATCAAAACAATCATCCACCATGATCAAGTAGGCTTCATCCCAGGGATGCAGGTATAGTTCAACATAAAAAATCCATCAGTGTAGTGCACCTTATAAACAAGCAGAGAAACAAAAATCACATGATCATCTCACTAGATGCTGAAAAAGCCTGTGACAAAATTCAACACCCATTCATGATAACGGTCTTGGAGAGTTTTGGGATAACAGGAACATGCCTAAGCATAAGCAATATACAGCACACCAACAGCCAACACCAAACTACATGGAGAGAAAATAAACATAATTCTTCTAAAATCAGGAACAAGACAAGGCTGTTGCTAGTCTCATCCCTCTTCAATACTGGACTTAAAGTTCTAGTTAGAGGGAAAAAACAAAAACAAACAGACAAAAAACATAAAACAAAAGGAGATCAAGTGGATACACATTGGGAAAGATGTCAAACTTTCACTATTTGCAAATGATATGATAGTTTACATGAGTGACCCGAAAACTCTACCAGGCAACTCCTACAACTGATAAACACCTTCAGCAAAGTGGCAGGATACAATATCAACTCAAAAAAATCAGTAGCCTTACTATATACGATGATAAAAGAGCTAAGAAGAAATCAGAGAAATATCACCCTTTACAATTGCTACAAACAACATGAAATATCTTGGTGTAATGCTATCCAATCAAGTAAAAGTGCTTTATCGCGGAGTAGCTGTTCCGGATCAGGTACAACAGGACCCAGAATAGGGTCCAGGGGACCAGGTAGGAGGCTAAGCGCCCCAGATTCCTGTTCTTCTTCCCCACCCTCGGGACCAGCATTTGGACAAGGAATAGAAGAACCACCAGATTATTGGACTTGCTAGCACCCACCAAAAGGGAACTCTGGTCCCCAGACAAGTAAGGGGCTCTTTCTGCACCCACTAGAAGAAGAGATGGGAAAGAGACAATACAAAAACACAGTCAGCAACAGAAAAACAAATATGACACCGCCAGATTCTAGAGACTCCACACCAGCAAGACCCCAACATTCCAATGCGAATGAAGCAGAAGAGAACGACCTTAAAAGCACTTTCATGAAAATGATAGAGGCCCTAAAAGAGGATATAGGAAAATCCCTCAAAGAAATGGAAGAAAAAAACAAACCAAAAAATGCAAGAATTGGAAGAAAAAACAAACCAAAAAAGGCAGGAAATGGAAGAAGAAATGAAGCAAAAAATGCAAGAAATGGAAGAAAAAACAAAGCAAAAAATGCAAGAATTGGAAGAAGAAACATACCAAAAAAGGCAGGAAATAGAAGAAGAAACAAAGCAAAAAATGCAAGAAATGGTAGAAAAAACAAAGCAAAAATGAAAAAAAATGGAAGAAGAAACAAACCAAAAACGGCAGGAAATGGAAGAAGAAACAAAGCACAAAATGCGAGAAATGGAACAAAAAGCAAACCAAAAAATGCAAGAAATGGAAGAAAGAACAAACCAAAAAATTCATAAAAGGAAACAAACGGATGAAAAGATAAACAGAAAATTGCAAGAAGCAATGCAAACACTGCAAGGGTTGAAAACTGAAATAGAGACATAAAAAAAAAAACACAATCTGAAGAAAGGCAGAAAATAGAAAAGCTGGACAAACAGTCAGGCACTACCAATACAAGCATTACCAACAGAATAGAAGAGATGGAAGAGAGAATCTCAAGTGTTGAAGATACACTAGGAGAAATGGATTTATCAACCAAAGAAAACCTTAAATCCAACAAATCCTTAACACAAAACATCCAGGAAATATGGGACACCATGAAAAGACCAAACCTAAGAATAATAGGTATAGAAGAAGGAGATGAAATCCACCTCAAAGGGGCAGAAGGCATATTCAACAAAATCATAGAAGAAAACTTTCCCAACCTTAAGAAAGATATGCTATTGAAGGTACAAGAAGCCTACAGAACACCAAATAGAGTGGACCACAAAAAAAAAAATCCCCTCACCACATAATAATCAAGACCCCAAACATACAGAATAAAGAAAGAATATTAAGAGCAGCTAAGGAAAAAGGTCAAGTAACATATAAAGGCAGACCTATCAGAATTACACCTGATTTCTCCATGGAAACTCTGAAAGCCAGAAGGTCCTGGATAGATATTCTACCTACACTAAGAGACCATGGATGCCAGCCCAGACTACTATACCCGGCAAAGCTCTCAATCACTATAGACGGAGAAAACAAGATATTCCATGACAAAACTAGATTCAAGCAATATGTGTCCACTAACCCAGCCCTACAGAAAATTTTGGAAGGAAAACTCCAACCCAAGGAA